TCATCATCAGCATCATCATCCATCATCATCATCATCATCATCATCATCATCATCATCATCATCATCATCATCATCGTCATCATCATCATCATCATCATCATCATCATCATCATCATCACCACCATCATCATCATCATCATCATCATCATCTTCCACGGCTTCCATCTCCGTCCACTTCGTCGCCGACGTCGTGGTCCTCTTCAGGGTCGGCGGCACTGGCCGTCAGGCCTTCGCAATATGAGGGTTGTGCCAACATTGGGGCGGGTACTGTGTGCGAGCCCTGCCACTGGGCCCTTCGGTGGGGCTCCCTCCTGGGTCACGAAGCGTGAGAGGGGTGTGCCGAAATGGAGGCGGGTACCGCATGCGAAGGCCGCCACTGGGGCCCTCGGTGAGGCTCCCTATGGGGCCACGAAACCAGCGAAGGGTTTGCCGAAATGGAGGCGCGTGCCGCATGTGTCCCTGCCATTGGGGTCTTAGGTGGGTCTCCCAATGGGGCCACGAAACATGAGGGGCGTGCCAGAATAATCATGCGGAGTACACAGGCAGATTATGGGGGGAGGGAGGAGGCAGGGAGGGGGAGGAGGTAGGACGGAGGAGGAGAGGAGAGGAGGACACGGGGCGCTGCCGACTCAAAACAAGGACCCAACACCACAGGATGGCTGGAAACAAAAACAATAACGTGGTTTACGCTTCGGCACTGCGCACACTCGTCGCAAACACGTCCAACAGCTGCAGAGATGAATAGCGGACCGCTGTCACAGTGTGACCCTCGCCGTGGCGCCACGCGCAACAGTTCCAGGAGTCTCCAGCAGCAGATGGAGGGCGGATATACACGTCCGAATGGGCTTTTCCGCCTGCGGCCTCTTCAATCTGCATGACGCGATGTAGGGACGTGTGCAACGTATACGTCTAAGTCCAGCGTGTCCCCCTACAGGGGGATTTTGGGCGACAAATAAAAGATACTCCAAAAAATCGTCCCCATACTAAGTTTTTACTGTTTTGAATTTTCCCCCCTGTAGAGGGACACGCCCGACTTAAGTATACGCGAACGGAGGCCGGTAATGTTCCACACCCGTGCTCCCAAATGACGCCGCATTTGGACCTCACTTTTTTGTTGCTGGCGATGTCAGGCGTGCAGCAGTTGCCGGCGAGCCCGGGGGGGAAGTGAGACGGGGCGGGCCTGCTCAGAAGGCCCGGGAGGAGTCCTCCAGCCGTCCGAGAAGTCTCTGAGACTTCCCAGGAGGCGCGAGGGCTTCCGAGGAGCACCGTCTCCCTCTGAGAGGGCCTCCTCCTCTTCGCGCCCCCCTTCGCTCGCCGCCGAAGCAGCTGCAGGATTCGGGGATGGACAGACCTCCCTTTAGTAAAACGTGGTTTAGTGACAACGACCTCGGGCCCAAACCTGGCGTGCGCCAGCCTGGAAAATAACGGCCACGGCGCCATCTCGAGAACCGAAAACGGACAATTCACTAATCGACGTGTCACTGTTGGGGGTTCTGTCCAGCCCCGAAGGATGGAGGCTGGCCCTTCCTCAGAGCGGGGACCGCCGCCGGATCCTCTCCACTACACTGCGTGATCCTGCCCCACGGCACCTCTCTCTCGGGTCGGGCATGGCCTCCTGCAGGCGGAGTTTGGGCAGGAAATGAAACACGGCCCCAAAAAATACTCCAGAAGCATGCAAGTATGGTCTGGAATTCCTCCCTGGCTACTTTTGCCTGTATTTCTGCACATTCCTCCTGTAGAGGGACACGCCGGACGTAAGACTTCCCACAGCCAGAGAGACGGAGGGCGGCTCGTCTTGCAGAACCCGAGCTTCGCGACGGAGCGGCGCGCCCGTGGCGCCCTCGTCGTTCTCCGGGGAGGGTCCGGCAATGGGAAGGGAGCCCTGCACGGGCGTGCGGTGAGGGGGCGCGGGACGGCAGGGTGAGCCACCACGTCGCCGAAGCGCTTTGGGGGCTCCATCTGGTCCTCCCTCACACAGGCACTCGGCGTCAGGACTCGTTCGCGGCACGAGCCCCAGGCATCTCGAAGCAGCATCCTGTGGATCGGCTTGCCGCCCCGACTTCCTGCCTCGCGGCCCTGGGGCCCGGGAGCTGAGCATGAGAAACCCAAAATTAGCCTGGCAACGGATCCAACTGCATGTAGTTGTGGGCACCGCACTGCGGCGCCGCTTTCGGTGGAGCTCCCTTCGGGGCAACAAAACGTGTGAGGGGTGTGCCGAAACGGGCGGAGAACCACATGCGAACTCTGCCAATGGAGCCTCCAGTGGAGCTACTCATAGGGCCACGAAACGAATCAAACTTGAGCCGAAATGGGCGGGAAACCACATGCGAACCCTGCCGCTGGGGCCTTTGGTGGAGCTCCGTATGGGGCTACGAAACGCGTGACGGGTGTACCCAAATGGAGGGGGGGAACCTTATGCGAACCCTGACACTGGGGCCCTGGGTGGAGCTCCCTATGGGGCCACGAAGCGTGTGAGGGGTGTGCCGAAACGGGGGCGGGGAATCCGCATTCGAACCCTGCCACTGGGGCCTTCGGTGGAACTGCCCATGGGGCCACAAAGCGTGTGAGGGGTGTGTCTGAATGGGCGGGGAACTGCATGCGAAGCCTGCCACTGGGGCCCTCGGTGGAGCTCCCCATGGGGCCACGAAACGTGTGAGGGGTGTGACGACATCGTCGTGAGGAGGGCAGAGGCAGGGGTGGAGGAGAGAGGAGGGGAGGAGAGGAGGAACGAGACGCGGGGCGCTGCCTCTTCAAAACGAGGACCCAGCACCATAGGATGGTTGGGAACAAATTGCCTGGCGAAAGTTCCAATCATATGCAGCTGCTAGCACCGCACGACAAATGGAAACTAAGGGAAAGCGCTGCCAAGGAGACTGAGGCTTGAGCGGGAAGGACGGAGCGACGTTGCAGATGGGGCCGCAGAGGCCGGCCGGAACGCGTTAGAGCTGGATGAAACCCATTACGGCTGGTCCGCGCGTCTGTCGGCGAGACCCTGGGGGGCAGCATGCGGCGGGGCCTTCGGTGGAACTCCCTGTGAGGCCACGACGCGTGTGCGGAGTGTGCCGAAATGGGGCGGCGGTCACATGTGCGAACCCTGCCACTGAGGCCTTCGGTGGAGCTCCCCCTGTGGGGCCACGAAACGCGTGAGGTGTGCCGAAATGGGCGGGGAACCGCATGCGAGCCCTGCCACTGAGGCCTTCGGTGGAGCTCCCTGCGGGGCCACAAAGCGAATAAAAACAAAGCATAAAATAAAAGCGAATACCGCATGCGAACCCTGCCACTGGGGTCTTCGGTGGAGTTCCTTCAAGGGCCACGAAACGCATGACGGACGTGCCGACATGGAGACGGGTACTGCATGCGAACACTGCCACTGGGGCCTTCGGCAAGCTCCCCATGGGGCCGCGAAGCGTGTGAGGGGTGTGCCGCGATGGGCGGGGAACCACATACGAACCCTGCCACTGGAGTCTTCGGTGGAGCTCCCTACGGGGCCACGAGACGTGCGAGTAGTGTGCAGAAATGGAGGCGGGCACCACATCTAAAACCTGCCCCTGGGGCCTTCGATGGTGCCCACTCTATGGCCACGAAACGTGTGAAGGCTGTGCCGAAATGGGGGCGGGGAACCGCATACGAACCCTGCCACTGGGTCCTTCGGTGGAGCTCTCTATGGTGTGAGGAGTGTGCCGTACTTGGGGCGGGTACCTCATTCGAACCCTGCCACTGCGGCCTTCGGTGCAGCGCCCTATGCTGCCATGAAACGTGCGAAGGGTATGCCGAAATGGAGGCGGGCACAGCATGTGAACCTTGCCACTAAGGCCTTCAGTGGAGCTCCCTATAGGGCCACGAAACGTGTGAAGGGTGTGCCGAGGTGGAGGCGGGTTGCGCATGTAAACCCTGCCACTGGGGCCGTGGGTGAAGCTCCTTATGGGGCCACGAAACGCGTGAGGGATGTGCCGCGACGGGTGAGGGTACCGCCTGCGAAACCCACCACTGGGGCCCTCGGTGGAGCTACCACGGAGCCTGCAGAAGGTGTGCGGGACGTGCCGACATGGAGCGGGTACTGCATGCCAGCCATGTCACTGGGGCCTGCGGCGAAGCAGGGCCACGAAACGTGCCAGTGGCGTGCCGAAATGACATGCGGAGGGCAGAGGCCAGGTATGGGAGCAAGGAGGGGAGAGGGGGAGGAGGAAAGGAGAGGACGCGGGGCACCATCTCTTTAAAACGAATACCCAACACCACATGATGGTTTGGAACCAACAACATATTGAATTGTTTAACGACGCGGCGACAGATGGCTAAACCCCAGACTGCAAATCGGCACCCCCTCTCGGGACATCTGCTGGGGTGCGTTCTGGCCGGATTTTCAAAGCGACCCCAGTCGTGGCCACGAGGGCGACGCGGAGGCCCACAAAAAAAAATCCCAGAAGCATCGACCCTCGACCATGACCCTCCAAGGCACTTTTCTAGACTCAAGAACCAACAAACTAACGAACAAACAAAAAACATCCGCACCCCTTCGCGCCCGCGCAATGCAAGAGAGGAGGAAGATGCGAACGAAGACAAAAGCAGGACGAAGAAGAGGATGTTGACCACGATGACGAGAAGGACAAGGAGGAGGACGAGGAGAAGGAGGAACTCGGAACTCGATGATCCGGGGGAGCCCAACGAGGAAGCTACTGACAGGAGCGCGGAGTTGCACAAAGCCGCTTGCAGGCAACAAAAAAAGAAGACGAAGAGGAGAACGAGGACGAGGACGACGAGGGCGAGGGGGCGAGGAGAACGAGGATGACGGCGACGAGGGCAAGGGCGAGGGCGAGGGCGAAAAGGAGAACAACGACAATGACGAGGGCCAGGGCGAGGACGAGGGCGAGGGCGAGGACGATGACGAGGAGCGGAAAGGAAGGGCAAGGGCGAGGGCGAGGGCGAGGACGAGAACGCACGAGGGCGCAGACGAGGACGAGGAGGACGCGGAAATCGAGCAGCAGTAGCCCCAAAGGAGCCACCCAGCGGGGCCATGGCCGCGCGGGCGGGCACGAGCCCGGCGGCGGCCAGCGCCAGCAGCGCGCCGCGGCCGCGGCGGCACACGCGCGCGGGCCTGCCCAGGGGGAAGGGGGGGGGGCAGCGCAGGGCAAGAGAACACCGCCCGTGGCAACGCATGGGGGCCTCCCACGCCACCTTTGAAGGGGCCCTGAGACACGCAAATAAATAGACATAAATAAAAGGATTCCCCATATTTTCTTATATTTTCTGGGTTTCTGTCTTCCCCCCCACTGCCCATATTCTCCCATATCCTCTGGGAATCGACGATAAATTGTGTCTGTGTGTTTTTTCTCCTCCTGAAACTTGCTGGCTCGCGCAGACCAACGCTCCTCGGCGCTCTTCGGCGCTGCGGCCACGCTGCATCGACCGACGCCGACATGAAGTTACCTCGACGCTAGTTCGGCGCGATCTCGTCGACTGCCGGACGCGAATCGACGCTGATGCACTCTGAACAAACAAGGGCTACAACGACCGCACGAAAACCGACGCTTCAAATGTGTGCGCACGTGGAGGTCTTTCTGACCTGGGTCAATCCAGACCCGGGTCAGTCAGGCCTTGCAGAATCCGGCAACATCCTTCAAGATCCTGCGCCCAAACCCGGGTCAATGCGAAGGATCCTGCAAGACCCTGCAGGATCCTGCACCCAAACCCGTGTCAATGCGACCCTGGCCCTGCACGATCCTGCAAGATCGGGCGCTCTGGCGGACCCCCGTTTGCACTGACCCCCGCCCCAAGGCTCCCGAGCACGGATAGGGTGGGAGGGGCCATCCCTCCAGCGTCATTCTTCTCGAGGCTTGGAGTCGATAGTGGGGACAAATCACGGTGCGAGAGCGTAAGAAGCGAGTGAAAGAGTTGCGGAAGGACCGCAAGTTTGGTGGCAAAGGTGGCGTGGCGGTCGAGGGTCGGGCACAAGCTCAAGCAGCGGCAACAAGTTCGTGAGCAGCTTCGGCAAGGGCCGCTCACCCGACAAGAAGACTTCTGGCTGCCACGCACGTGGCCCGACCGGCCACTGGGCTGGCGACCCCTGCTGCCCGAAGCTGAAGGAGTGGAGGGCCGAGCAAGCCAAGAAGAAGTTGCAGCCGAAGTTCATGCCGTGAGACGCGATGGAGGTCGACCTGCTGGACACGAAGACGGGCAACGAGACGCTGGAGGCGAACGTCCCGAAGGTGTTCGAGGCGCTAGTGGCCACGGACGTCCTCGGGCACCTCGACGCGCCGGCGTGGTGCGAGGAGCGCGGCTTGCAAGGCGACGGCCGCGACGTCCGCTGCGCCACGTGCGAACGCGACTATGTAAAGATGGCGACCAACAAGGACGCTGAGGTGGCGGCACAGGAGGTGCTTCTCTCGTCTGCCACGATCGGCGGTCAGGGCGACAACGGCGGGCTAGATTCGGCATGCAACAGCGCGGTCTCGGGCGACGCGTACGCCATGAGGTTCGAGAACGGGTGCAAGGAGCTAGGGGCCAAGGACCAGATCAAAAAGGAGCCCCAGCTCGCCGTTCAGGTTCGGGAACGGCGAGAAGCAGGTCTCCAGGGAGCGCTGGACGGTTCCGGCCACGGTGTTCGACGTGGACGCCTACCCGACGTTCTCAGTCATTGAGGGCTCGCTGCTGCAGCTGCTGATCGGCGAGGACGCGCTCCGTGGCATGGGCGCGGACATCAACTTCGCGGAGGACACGTCCGACTCCGACAAGCTGGGGATCGCGCCCAAGCGCTTGAACGAGACAGGCGGAGGCCACCACGCGACGCCGATCTGCCCGCGAAACGGCTGGAGGCCTCCCGACGGGACGCCCGCCGACCGCGGCCGACGCGGCGATCAGGGCGCGGTCGAAGGCCGAGGAGGCTCTGATGACAGTGCGCTCGGAGCTTGCTGCACGCGAGGCTGACCGACGAGCTGAGGAGGAGGCCGCGCCCGAGGAACAAGAATGCGATTGGGACATGCCCGACCAGGTGCCCGACCAGATAGACGTCTCCCACCTGCAAGTGCGGGAGCGCCAGGACGACAACGCCCAGGCACTGAGGTCCTCGAACTGCGATGGCCCGAACTGGAAGCTGGCGAAGGCCCGCGAGACGTTTTGTGCAGACGCGGGGAACGTCATCGAGGAGCTGTATTGGATCGAGGGCCTACCGAGCGAGGAACTGTTCGAGCCGCTGGATCCTCCGAGGAACATCGCGACGAGGCTCCACTGGGAGCCAAACCTCGCGGGCCCGGCGTCTGAGCATCAAGGCGCTGATTGACCGGTTGATGGAGACGGGCGCAAAGGCGAGAAGGACCCCACGGGAGGAAGGCGAGGCGCTCGTGAGCGCCGAGGCCCCGCCGCCACCTCGGGCGGCTGAAGGATCAGGCAGCGCTGCGCCTGGAACTCCAAGTTCGACGGCGTCGAACGATTCGGCGAGGAGGCGCGCGCGGGTGCTGCCGCCGATTGGGATCAGGAACAAGCGGGAGCTCGTGGACTACGTTCGTGACTACGAGGTGCCGACGGACGGCGGCCCAGAGCTGATGACCATGCCGGCGTTGAAGAACGCGGCGCCCGCGCATGACGAGGCGCCGTTCGTTCGAGGTCGGTCGGCGCCCAGAGGACCAGCATCGACTGGCGCAGGACCTCGACCCCCGCCTTTTGACCATCGAGCGCGACATGCTGCCAGGGGCCCGTCGGCGCTCTCGAGGTGGTTGTTTGGAGCCACCATGCTGGGCATGGTGCTGCCAGCGAACCAGGCCGACCTGATCCCGACGGTGGAGAAGATGAAGAAAGGCACCAAGACGTTGATAAAAGATCAGCTGCACTCCTTGAAGCGCGACCTGGACACGTTCAACATCAAGTTCGAGGCGTACTTGACGGAGTTCGGGTCCCGCTTGATTCGTGGGAGGCCGGGTGCGAGGCAGCGATGAGCAAGGCGACCAAGTCTCAGCCTTGGATCACCGAGGTCTTCGCAACAAAAGTGGCAAGTATAAGGACGCGGCACGGCCGGGGAGCCCTACTATGAGGAGCTATTCACTGGAGTTCGGGGACGACCTGAGGTCCCTGGAGAGGCGGCGGGAGGTGTTGCGGGACATCATGACGAAGAAGCCGATGCTGGCGCTGATGGATTGCCCCTGCGCGCCCTGGAGTAACCTGAACTACTTTCAGAGGGGTCAGGCGAAGGTGCGCGAGAGGCAGCTCCAAGGCCAGCCGCTCCTCAAGTTTGTGGAGCAAGTGGCGAAGGCGAAGACGGATTACGGAGGTGCATGGCATATCGAGAACCCGAGGTCGTCTCGAGCATGGGGCGAGCCGAAGCTGCGGGAGCTCATCCAGCAGGGCTTCGCCGCGGAGGTGGACAAATGTATATACGGGCCCCTTTCGGAACGTGGAGGAGCGAGCGTCGGAAGCCCACGAGGTTTCTGGCGTCGCACGAGGAACTGCTGATCGAGCTCGAAAGACGGCGCCACTGCGCCCACTCCCACGACCTAGTCATGGGCGGCCCGAGCGCGCTGGAGGCGAGTGGAAGGTGCTCTGGAGGGGTAGCACCACGGAGAGGGAGATCGAGACGGAGCTGGAGGCGACGGCCGCTGCAGCGAAAATCACCTGGGCCAAGAACCAGCGGATCAACGAGTCGGGCTTTTCGCCAGCGCAGCTCGCGCTGGGAAGGCCCCAACAGCTGCCGCGGGGGCTGCTCAGCGAGCGCAAGCAATCCCAGCTCGCAGTGCACGACGCTGCGGACAACGACCCCAACATGACGAAGGGCTTGCAGGTCTACAGCACGGCGAAGGTTGCGCTGGAGAAGCTGGACACCACTAAGAGGTTGCTCGCAGTCGCCAGATGCCCCCCGACGCGAACGCGAAGCTTGGCGACGCGGTCCACTTCTACCGCGAAGGTAAGCGCAGGAATCGCTGGAGGAACGGCCCAGACTTAATCTTCAAGGCCTGGCACGGGCCGGCCGCGGTCAGCGGCGTCGAGCCGGCAGCCACCTACGTCTCGCACGAGGGCTTGTCGACCAAGCGCGACCCAGCGGCGGTCCGCCGCGCGTCGCCCGACCAGGCGCGGGGCATGGGTGCCATTGAGCATCTGGATATCATGGAGAAGGCGCTGCTCGACGCGGAGGGCGACGAGGAGGTCTACATGGAGGATGCGACCAGGGCGCGCGAGGAGGAGGTCGAAGCAGACCAAGGCGACGACGGTGGACCCGAGGTACTGGGCGAGGACACTCGGCCTTCTCAAGCAGAGGAGGCAACGGAGGACCACGTGGACACGGAGGAGCAGCAGGAACCGTTGGGGGAGATCACCGAGGCGGGCACGGCTGCTGCGATGGCTGGTGCCGCGGCCGAAGGCGAGACGGACCCGATCTCAAGCGCTGAGTTCTCGAGGAAGACTAGCTCTCAGCAGAGCGGGAGGACCGATCCCCTGAAGGAGGTTTCTCAGAGGCTGCGCGATCAGGGCGAAGACCCGGACAAGTCGAGGTTGCTGCGCGCGGCCAAGACCATTCAAAAGCGCGCGGGCGAAGTGCGAGAGCGACCGAGGCCGACGGCAGCTCGATCGACGCCGGCGGCGACCCTCATCCCTGAGGGTCAGTTCGGGCCCGATGGCAACTTCGCGCCGAGTACGCCGCCCATCCAGGAGGCATAGGCAGCTCAGGACCCGGCGGAGGACCAGACTCAGCCAGCGGAGGAAGAGCCGCCTCAGCAGGGACAGAAGCGTGACGCAGAGACGGCCGAGCTACCAGGAGCTCCAACTCGTGGAGGTCGTGACGGACCTCCAGAGCCCATGCGCCCCGACGAGGCGCCGCGGGCCAAGCCCCCGAGGTGGGCCGGAGAAGGTTTATGGATCAGCTGGAAGCGGTGGAACGGACCGACCCGAGGTTCGAGGCGATGCTTGCGCAGGGGCAGGCTCGGAAGATGAAGGCATGGAGCCGCATGGATCCGCCAGCCAAGGCGAGCTACGAGGAGGCAGCGGCGTCGCAATGGGCCAAGTGGACCGACACCGAGTCCGTGGAGGCGCTGCTGGAGCAATAGTCCGCCGAGCTCGAGGAGTCGAAGAAGCGCGAAGGCAAGGGCGACTACATCATGGGCACCCGGTGGACGT